TCTAAAACTTAATCCTTAGATCGATCTAAATCTCTGGGAAAGCACCCATAGTTCTAAACCGTACCAAATGGTACCGTTCACCCTCTAAAATACCAAACTTTTCGGGCCCCAAACCCGAAAAAGGGGGGGGGGGGGGGGGGAGGAGCCCCCGCCCCCCCCCCCCCCCCCAAATCCGCCACTGCGTTACCACTGCGATTGATACATTTAGGACTGAGTTTACTTACCATGTGAGCTGACAGTTTACTGTCAAGCTAGACTGTCGCCAGAAATGCACTTTTTGACCCTTTTTGTCAAGAAATGTTCAAAAAAAGCATATAATTCACCGCACCCTATTGATATGCACGCTGTGCTAGTTAACACAGCGTGCATATCAAAATCCTCAACAGGCATGAATTTCGCTATTTTGGGAGGTGTCATTATCGTCAGATACAAATATGTTAGGTGTTGACGTTTTAAAACCGAAATAATTGAGGTAAGCGGCCCTTGAGAACATCCGCAATGACACAATGAATTACTCCGATTACTTAAATAACAGGTCCCGGACTCCCTAACATGGGGGACTCTCTGTTACATGACACCGGAGATATCAGTGTTAGTATGTACACAGTGCGTAAGACAGATAGTTATGAATCAGAGACCCCATTTCCAGAGATTAGATCGATCTACTTTAGATCGACCTAACTCCCTGGGGGTTCACGCTAAATAGCTGTCAGCCGGGCGGACACGAAAGTTAATTAACCCCTTACAGCTTGTAGTAGGCGGGACGGACATTTAAGCCGGATTATCTTACAGTAATCTAGTGAGACTCCCCGCGGGGATAGATCGATCTAAAAGCTCTGGGAATACAGCCAGAAGTACTCGCACTTATCCTCTGGCGTGATGTAGTGGTGCTGGGCCTACATGTGTACTTACACATCCGACACACATTACAGGTTCTGTGTACGGTTACTACTTTCACCTGAATGATCTGAATAATAGCAGAAGGATGTGACTCAAAACTCACTTCTCCTTACAGTTGGCCCGAGTGGCCAGCTCCCTGGGAGTGACCGGTCTTCCCATATCTCCCAGCACCTCGAACAGCCCCAGTCGCAGGCCCACGGACACTCCAAGGGAAGTGAACGCGTCGTTCTTTAACTGTAGCATACGCTCGGCAAACGTTGCTGCTGACATGTTGACCGACTGTACGTAGGCCTACTGCAATAAAGGGAACCGGAGAAGATCAGCATTGGTCAGAATTGTGCCGGAAGTGACGTGCAGTGGTGTTAGAAACGAAGCTGAGTGGTCATTTTAACATAGAGGTGAACGGCAGTGAAGACGGGTTGTCGGAGGAAAAAGAAGTTTTCTAAACAACATGGTAAGATAACACTTTTTCTTTACGCATTTTGGGCAGAGAAAACTTGTAGAAATAATAAATGCATGATATGAAAACGTGACACGGAACTTGAAGGTGCAAAATCGTGCTTAATTGGCGGTCAACTTGTTTTAAAATGAATGCTGCATCGACCGCCATTGCGACAAAGAGTGTAAATGGAAAATAATTCCCGGGAGGCTGTAAATCGTTGCCATGTGGAAATTTGGCATTAATATAATCCGATATGTCCATATCTAAGTATTTTTGGG